AAAACTATTTGTCTCAGACGTTTCTTTTCAATTATGTGAGAAATGCTGTCAAGTGTGACATTTCGAGTATTCATGTCCCAGAGTCATGATGCACGAAGATATTAAAATCTCTTCTTAGCATGTAAATTCACAATTTTTTCATCAGGAGAATACATATGATTATTTTGTCAAGAAAGTCCTTAAAATCATCTTAGTGTTTTATCGAACTTGGCAGTTGGCAGTTTATCTGTTATTTTCTCATTTTTTTTGTAATTGACTAGGAATTCTCTACCATCAAAACATAGAATTCAGTCTGCAATTATCTTTGAATTTCTAATAATGTTCGCATAATTTCGATGGTGAACAGGAAGAGTAGGCTGTGCGTTTGAACGAACATGATTTCATCCCATATTTGTTTGATTATGGCTTTGATACCCTGTGCTCGTTCACGTTCGACAGTATTTATGACCACAAGAAGTAATCCGAGGGATTCAGATCTGATGAACTGGGAGGCCATTTATCTTTGGCCAAAAAGTTGGTTCCTACAGTATCTTGTCTGACTTTTCTAAGAACTGATGGTTTCTTCTGGAAGTGGAAATTATTTCACCCGGAAGTAATTTTTTTTGCTAAGAGGAGCGTAGCAACCGGAAAGATTTATTTTAATAATTGTTTGCCTTTATAAATTGAATACTTGAAAAGTTATTTTAGAAGCTTAATTTAGAAGTTTACTTCAGATGCTGGAAATCATTGCATGGGAATGATTTCACATGATTTCTTATGCCCAACCGTGAATTGTAAGATTCTATTACAGATTGGCTTGAAAATATGCAGAATTTGCAATATTTTGCGACATGAACGGATTCTGTAATGTGGTCGCCGGAAAGTTTTTATGTTAGCTTATTTTTGGAACAAAGTTTATTTCCCCAAATGCAATGCGACTAGAAAATCATCTCGTGACGGGTTTATACAATATGCATTCCGGAAGAACTTGGTTGTACGCTGCAGTCCATTGCAAGAACTGCTATTAAATTTTTTGTATGTAACATTTGCAGTGGATATAATAAATCCAATCTTACATTAGGTCAAAGATATCTAATTAACAAGATATTCAATTAATCACCAGGCAATAGATACATCATCCTTATGTGATAGCAGTGTCATCTAGTGAGTGCACATTGAAACTGTTGGAAGTCCCTCGACAACTTCACCACCAGGGCTCAATACAGCGTTGCCAGATATACCGATTCATCGGTATTTATACCGATTTCCGAACTAGATACCGATATACAGATAAGATTCCTCAGAATACCGATTTTTGGAATTGTATACCGATTTATACCGATGTTTTTTAAATGATCAAAATTAATTTTGCCTAACCATACTCGAATTTTGGAGAAAATTACTGTGAGAGACTTGTGTCTTTTTAAATAACTCAAATTTTTGAGCCCTCAAAATTCATAAATAAAATCATCTTTGAAAATGTCATATGCTTGATACTCTTTTGACTAATGTTTCCATTTCTTCACCGTTTTTAGCTACCCATGAATCGAGAAACTGTCGATGGCTTTTTCCGGTTATTCCTAGAGAATCGCAAAATACTTTTTAAACATTTTTTTAACTTCCTAAAGTTTTTGTTCATTTCCAACTTCCTGAATTTTCTTGCAACTTTCGCCTAGAATTTTCTTCCACCTTACACCATAAGTTATTCCTCAATTCCTCCCGAAAAAAACTTATTTCAACTTCCCTTGGAAGCTTCTTCAGCCTTCGCTCGAATGGTTCTTCCGTTTTCTCCCGCCAGTTTTTTCAAATTCCCCTGAACTTCAGGGACGTTTCCAGATTTTTATTGCGGATTCACACTAGCTGTAAGAACTTTTAAGAAGTTCCGAAACATCAGAAAAGTCTAGACTTTTGAGAAAGCTCCGATAAATTAAAGATAGTTTCATTAATTTATGTTCAAATTCCAAAACCCGAAAATTTTAAGGAAAGTCCAGCGAACTCCAATGAACTTACGAAAACATCAGAAATATTTAGGAAACTTCACAAGTTCAAAGAACTTCAGGGAAATTTAATGGTTTTCAGGAAAGTTTCTTTTTTTTCAGAGAATTAAGAGAACTTTAGGGAAGCTCCGTGAACATCAGGACAGAGCAATTAGTTTCAAGGAAATGCTGATATTTCAAAGGATTTCCGGGAAACTCAGGCAATATTTCACAAATTTAGGGAATATTCCTAATTGCGTTTCAGAAATTTTCTGAAAACTTCAGGGGCATTGCGGGGTCTTCAGAGATGTTTTATGAATATCAGAAAAAAAATGCTGAATCATCCCCCAGAAATCTCTTTCTTCCGGAATTATGTCCTTGTTTCTTTCGACTGTTCCCTAGGCGCTCTGGCTTCCGAATCTCTCCAGAAGTTTCTTGCAATCTACCTTAGGAAGTGTCTGCTAGCGTCTTCAGGACGTTTTTTCCGCCTTCTTCTGGAAGTGTGTCCATAAGCCATAGATTTTTGACTTTTATTGGAAGGTTTTTCCGAGCTTCTTCTGGCTTCTCCTAGAACTGGCTACTTCTGGAATTTACTTCCATTTTCCGAAACTTTTATGACTTCCATTTGGATGTCCTTTGGATTTTTTATGGTTTCTTTGAATAGAGAGACTAGAAGTTTCTCAATTCTTCCGATCATAGTCCAAAAGTTAAAATTTTTGCTTTCAAAAACAGCTTAAATATAATATAAATTAAAATAGTAAATACCGATAAATAACGATTTTTTAAAAACTTTGATACCGAGAAACTTTAAAACAATCTTGCAACGCTGTGACAGGTGTCAGCATGACAGATGCCAGTGCAAACGTTGATGATCAGACGAGGGCAGAGGACGAAGGCAAGATTTTCACTTTTTTGTGATACTTTCGAGTGAAAGTGTTTCCAATATCACCACCGGTATCATTAAGATGCAAATCTCTAATTGTAATTGATGATTTGCGAAGCTGTTGCTCAAAATAATCTATATAAGCATAAACATGGAAAAACATTCCCTTTGTTACAGAATTATTCCAACACCCAATCCAACATCATTGCTAAACAAACGTAATAAAATATGCCGTCTTCCTTGGCCAACGCAGCACGCATTCCATTCAAAAATTACACTGAAATAGTGATTACTTTAATATTTCATAACGTAGGAAGGCATTTGCCAACGCTGGCGAATGCAAACGCAATCAAGGCCTGGGGAAGCTGAATTATGGCGATGAGTGATGACACCGCTTCGTGTTTTGATTTGTGCTGTACCATCCGCTCAGTGGTGTGCATTTGTATATGCATAGATGTTAGCAGTGTTGGCAAAATCAGAAATCAACTGATATTTTTCCGCTCTCATGCGCTCGCAATATCACGCGTGATATTGCAACAAAATATCATGCTTGATATTGATTTTACAAGCTCCTTTGATATTGCGAGACTATTCGCAACGTTGAAAAATCAAGCTGAAAGTTGACTCGACACAAAAATGATTCCATTGCACATCGTTTTCTTAGAAAGAGAAATCATAGTTTGCTATCTCTTTTTAATCTTTACCGATGGCAGATGCGAAGGGAATGCTGTAAGCCGTTATGGAAGTTTCGGTTGCATTCGAGTTTGCTTCTAGTTCTTTCCGGAGTGTCCATTGATGACAATAAGTTCCTTCTACAGTTGTTAAAACCATATTTGAATCACATTTGGAACCTTAATTGTTTCCTTATGTTAGGATTTATCTTCCAAAGACAAGCCGTACCGCCATCTGTACTTTGATTGTGCCGATTAAATCCACTGACAGAATTGAACTGAACTAGAATAAACGCTCCTATAGTTGCGGTACGTTAGAAGCTTTAGATTCCAGTTGCGTATGAAGACTACTTACACAACTATAGAAACCTAACGCTTCTAACGTACCGCAACTATAGGAACGTTTACTCTAACTGAAAGTGCACTGAGGTGCAAATTTAAATTTGTAATGTTTCCGCACAAGACTGTGTCGTAGAAAAAACGGACTAATCGGTATAAAAACAACTCTGCAAATCTAGTTATACCATCCAATGCAGCCATCTTCTGCACTTTTCTCAACCGGAATGGAATGCCATTATTCACAGTGCTTTTCGCAATGAGAGTTCCACCAATTTCACCCATCGAAAACACTGACGCATCCGATTCGATGAAGTGCTTCAACCCATTAACGAAATTGACTTTTTCCTTCCTTATCCCTCCAATGTTCCATTAAGTTTCACATACTCCTCATGTGCCCCCAGCCAGATCTTGGGAAATTATTTAATTTCGATAATCCCCAACAGGGGGAAGTATTCCGGGATGCTGGGTTTTTCGATCGAGAAAAATAATTTACATCGGGAGAGCGTTTCTTCTCCTGGAATAAGCCCAGGCACGACGTGAGTTAGCAAGTTCACCATTTAGAGACTCGAAATTGAAATTTTCAATCCGTTCATGATACTCAGCTTTCTAAATAATTGCTTCTGGATCATTGCCAGATGAGCGAGTAGAGATGGATTTTGCCTGGCTCTGCAGGATGAGAAACGTATGGCAGCGCTCCGAAATGCCCTTCCTTCTGCTCTACCGTTTGTTGGTTGGTTATCTTGTGCAAGTCATCAGCTCAGCTCCGGCCGACATTCGTTCGATTCGATTCCAGTCTTTTTGGCGAAAACGTAGCGCTTAAGGGAATAAATAATCACACAAAAATGTGACAGTCTGGTTGTTTTCATGCGAATGGGAAGAAAGTGTTTTCTTGTTTCATTTTTTTTATGGTTGCCATTTGCGATGGAAGAGGGGGGAAAAGTCAGGGAAAGATTGAACCGAATGGAGTCGAGACTAATGAAACAGAAAGATTTCATCGGGAAGAAACTAAAGAGAGCACGAACTTAATGCGATAATCGATGATGAATGATTCCTGAAAAGAGCATTTGGATTGTTATGTTAAAAGGAAAGGAAAATTCTCGTTACCGAGACCCACTCTTCGGGAAGATGGTTTCGCTAACGAGCTAAACTTACCCTAGCGGCAAAGCTAGTGTTCGGCTTCTCGAGGAGCTCCCAGAGGTACTTTTGATATTGTGCGCATTTTCCGTCTCCAAATTCTTCCTCCTCCCGTTGACGCAAACTTTCCGCTTCTTTTCGCATTTCTTCGTGAACGTGCTCCTTTCGTTGGTGGTACTTGTGTTGACAGCAGGACTCCAGATACAGCTCATCGACGCCCCAGTATTCGAGGTCGTCGCTGAACGCCAGCACGCACATCTCGTCCACCAGATGCAGTTTGCCGGTGCGGTAGAAATTAAGCATTGAACTAAAACTTTTCGGGTGTCTATCGAAAAAGTATTCGTTGTCTATCAGTGAGTAGTCATCGCATAGCTCCGATATTGCTTCGTGCGTGTTACACTCGCGCAGTCTCCCGAGTCGTGTGTGAGGCAGCCGTTCGAGTGTTCGCCATAGGACTTCGTGTTTGACGCCACCTACATTGATTAACACACGTCGATTGAGCGCCTTCGAGCGCATTATCATGAAGGGCTCCGGTGGTATTGATGACATAGATCTGAATATGGGATGAGACCAACTGTGATGACATCTTGTGATGATACGGGGATTGAAATGAAGCCTACCTGGAATGTGCCCTTTGCAGCGGTGCCTGAGACATTTGCGTATAACTTGCAGAGGCAGGATGTGTCGGAGATTGAACAGGGAAGGGCGCGTAGCGAACTTCCTTCGTGCTTCCGCCACCGCCCGAAGTACCACCGCCGCCTCCTGTTCCTCCTCCACCCGGTGGGCCAGTTCCGCCGAAGCCACCAGAGCTGCTTCCTCCGCCCCCAAAGCCTCCGATGTTCGTTGTTGTGTTGATGGTTCCATCATCGAAGCTTCCGCCTGGCAGTGAACTGCCCGGCGCTCCTGGACCGCTGCACATGGTTCCCGGCCCACCATTATTAAACGGGGGTGGCGTAGTTTCCCCCAGTTCCCAGCGCACCGCTTCACGCTCTCGGTCGCGATCGCCCACCATAGGGCCACTGGATACGCACATATACGAAAGCAACAGATAGAGAGAGGGGAAGGACGCAAAGATACAGAGAGATCACTCAGTTGAACTATCGCTTTGCCTGAGTTGCTTCGGTTAAACTAGTCATTTCCGTAGGTCTAGTATAAGTAAACTTAAACTGTTCCTTCATATTACAGTACGGAAGGACAGCTGGCATGCCCTACAACATCAAAAGTAACATTATATAGAGGAAAACCGGAAACAGAAAGGGTAAACAACTATCTAGGTAGGTAGTCGATTCTACGTTTCGATGAAACTCACCGCTACATGAATCCAGACATCTTCTCTATTCAACTCATAAAACTAGCTTGCCTATTGCCATCCTTATGCGCTATGCTTACGGGACAGTAACCGGGCACTAGTACGAGTATGGATACTAGCAACACGTAAACGCTAATGAACTTGAGACAAACTAAATTTGCGCCTAACTCTAACTGCTGGATTGCTGTTGCCTCACGACCGTCGAACAGAGCACCACTCCGAATGAAGAGTACTGAGAGCGACACTGATGAGGTTCGCGACGAGGATATCGGTGGCTGTGGCGATAAGGTCGCCGATGAGCTCAACGACAGTGACGGCGCTAACGATGACTGAGATGACGACGTCGACGATGGGCTTCTCGACAACGGCAATTCGAACAGAGATGCTGGTGGTTGTGGCGCAGTTTTTGACATGGCACCTGCCGACAAGAGGGGCATTCACCGATTCGATGAAGGCATTTCCGTGTAATTCGTAACGGTAGCACTGAACAGCACTGCACGATACATTACTTCTGTTTACACTAATTATCACTATTGCGACGGATCTTCAAAGGCTTGCTTCGTAGGCGGTTCGCCAATCACTGCGGAAGGATCTGAAAAAGAGAGAATAAAAATGTGGTCGTAAGTATGATGATCGGTAGGCATTTTGGTATCTATTGGTTGTATTTTGGGCACCCTATTAGCCGTAGAGCAGTGGTGCAGTCAGGATTTCTGCCTGTTGTAAAAATTACGTAGCATGAGCCACTGATCTGTTGAATATTGTATTTTGTGAAGATTGTACTATGTTGAAAAATTGTACTCGTGTTTTCTTGCAACCCCCTAAGAATTGTTTCCCTCCGTGCTCTCTATGCCCTCGTTAAATAGCCGCACCCTGACGAACATTTCCCGTGCAGGGATGGAGGCAGTGCTTCTTCCCGGAAAACTAAATGTGTGTCACGGAAATGCCCCAAGTATCTGTGCTAGGAGATCAACCAAACTGGACGAAGTAAGAAACCTGCTTCAAGACTCCAAAGTCAGCGTAGCATGTTTCACCGAATCCTGGTTGACACAAAAATTTAGCATTGCCATTTCTGGATATAAAATCTTACGCAACGACCGACTGTACAGGCGTGGAGGTGGAATTGTGATCTATTACAAAGATAACTTACGGTGTAATAAAATCTTTGGGACAGTACTACACCTCGATTCAGAAGACAAAACAGAATGCCTAGCGTTGGAGTTGCGACTTGGCTCGGAGAAACTGCTGATTGTAGCCGTTTACAATCCCCCAGAAAACGACTGTTCAGGTTTTCTTGCCGATAAATTAGCCGACTTTGCCGCACGTTACAAACCCGTTTTGCTTATTGGAGATTTCAACACAGACTTGAACACCCGAAACAGTAAGCGAGCACACTTCGAAACAGTACTTCAGAGTTTTGCGTTGACGTCTGTTGTTGACGAGCCAACCTTCTTTCACCATACGGGATGCTCACAGTTGGATCTGTTCATCACTAGCTGCGATTCGAAGGTTCTGCGCTTTAATCAGATTAGTTTCCCTGCACTTTCGCAACGTGATCTGATTTTCGGTTCTTTGGATTTTGATGGTTCGCCTGCACCAATAATTCAAACGTATCGTGACTATGTCAATTTCGACGCTCCGGCTTTGGAAAACGCTATACAGTCCGTTGCATGGGACAATATGTACTCCATTGACTACCCCGACGATTTGCTCGATTTCTTCAACAGTCATCTCAAACGGATCCATGATCAGTGTTTCCCGCTTCGAACAAACAGCGGTCGTATAACTCGTGGTTTGATTACAATATCAGTAAGTCAATATTGGAACGCGATTCAGCCTACCAGTGATGGCTAAATGCATCGTAGAATTCAAAGTTACAAGCATGACAACGATATAAAGCACTGAGGAATCGAACCAACGCGTTGATCAAGGACACGCTTCTTAGACGACAGGATCCCAACCAAAACTCTGTGGAAGCGAATCAAAACTCTTGCTGCTGGTAAGAAACAAGCGTCAGCGAACTGTGAATTCGATCCAAACGAAATAAACCGAGTGTTTTTGGCAAGCTACACCAATAGTACATCCCAAGACATACAAAGGCATTCCACACAAGCTTCTCCTCACAGTTTCTCCTTCCATCCTGTACAAGACTGGGGAGTTGTGAACGCAACATGGCACGTTAGGTGGAACGCAACGGGCCTCGATGGATTGCTGATATGCTTCATAAAAAATGTTCTTCCATTAGTTCTGCAGCACCTATATTTTCAACGATCTCATTGAGTCTTCTACCTTTCCTGCGTGCTGGAAGCAAGCGAAAGTACTGCCACTACGGAAAAAAAACACATTTGAACACGACAAATCTCAGGCCTATCAGCATCTTGTGTGCGATGTCGAAGGTTTTTGAAAAACTTTTAAAGTAACAAATGTCGGCGTTCATTTCTGAGAACTATCTATTATCGGAATGTCAAGCTGGGTTTCACAGAGGACATAGCATCAAAACTGCGACGTTACGTGTATGATTTGGCGACCACAATCGACAAGAAAGGGTCCGCCATATTGCTCCTGTTAGATTTTTCCAAGGCGTTCGATACAATCCCGCTTCGAAAACTATGTTTGAAACTCGTGATGAAGTTTAATTTTTCCCCTGGTGCAGTATGCCTCGTCGATTCGTAACTATTTGGAAGAACTCAAACTGTCTTTTGTGGCAATCAATGTTCTGAGATTGGCGAGGTAACATCTGGCGTACCACAAGGGTCGGGGGTACGTTGCGGAAAATCCAGACATGTTCCGTTTTGTTTTTCAGGCTGTCTGGACGTAGGCATCTTCCCAGATGCGTGGAAGCGGCAGAGGCTGGTGCTGCTCCCGAAGCCAGGAAAACCCCCTGGGGACCCGTCAGCATACAGGCCCATTTGTTTGCTGGACAGCACTGTTAAACTGCTTGAGAGGGTCATCCTCAACAGGTTGTCGGCTTACACCGAAGGTGTAGACGGCCTGTCAAGCAACCAGTACGGGTTCCGTAAGGACAGATCCACGGTGGAAGCCATCCGTGACGTCATCCAGACGGCAGAAGTGGTCCACCGGAAACGAAGGGGCATTCGCTACTGCGCGGTGGTAACCCTAGACGTGAAGAACGGGTTCAACAGCGCGTGCTGGGGGGTGATAGCCCGCTCGCTACACCAGCTCCAAACTCCCGGAGGGCTGTACAAGATTCTGGAAAGCTAATTCCAGAATCGTGTGTTGCCGTACGACACAGAAGATGGCGAAAAATGCGTAAGAGTCACCGTAGGAGTGCCACAAGGCTCCATCCTGGGCCCGGTGTTATGGAACGTCATGTACGATGGATTGTTGAGGATAAGATTCCCGGTAGGCGTGAAAATTGTAGGTTTTGCCGACGATGTCACACTGGCAGTCTATGGGGAATCCCTCGAGGAGGTAGAGCTGACAGCGGCTCACTGCGTCAAGCTGGTGGAGGAATGGATGAGATCCAGGAAACTGGAGCTTGCCCATCACAAGACGGAAGTGGTCGTAGTCAACAATCGCATGTCAGTACAGCATGTGACGTTGACAGTCGGCGGAAGCACAATTAGGTCTGTGCGCTCTCTGAAACTCTTGGGGGTTATGCTCGATGATAAGCTCAGCTTCGGCTGCCACGTCGAGTACGCCTGCATGAGAGCGTCTACGGCTGTGGGGGCATTATCCCGCATGATGTCAAACAGCTCGGCAGTGAATGCCAGTAAGCGCAGGCTCCTCGCTGGGGTCGTAGTATCTATCCTCAGATACGGCGGCCCTGCGTGGGCTGCGGTACTGGATATTGACTGCTACAGGCGGAAATTAGAGAGCACACACAGGCTAATGTGCTTGAGGGTGGCCAGAGCATACCGCACTATCTCGAGAGAGGCCGTCTGTGTCATAGCAGGGATGATGCCAATCAGCCTTATCATTAAGAAGGACGTGGTGTGCTATGACGCGAGGACCGTTCGAGGGGTGCGCAACAACGCGCGAGTTGTGTCGACCGCGAGATGGCAATCGGAGTGGGAAAACTCCACAAAGGGGAGGTGGACTTACCGCTTGATACCTTCCGTATCAAGCTAGGTCAACAGGCGCCACGAGGAAGTAAACTTCCACCTTACACAGTTCCTGTCAGGCCATGGCTGCTTTAGGAGCTACCTGCATAGGTTCGGACATGCAAGTACTCCCATCTGCCCCACGTGTGCTGGCGTCGAGGAGACCGCCGACCACGTTGTGTTCGCCTGTCCATGCTTCGAGCCAGTATCGAGCGCTATGCTAGTGATATGCGGAGCGGATACCAGTCCGGATAACATCGTTCCTAGGATGTGTGGTACCACCACCGGAAACTTGCCAAAACGTGTTTCCCACCAGCGTTCTTCCAGAAGTTGATCCCGTTTCAAAGCCACCGATCGCAAAATTTGATCCTTCCACCGAACAACACGTCAGGTTACGCAAGCACAATGTTCGTCAGAGGTGTGGTAAATTGGAATATGCTACCTTCTACGATTAAACGTCCGACTCCGGAACATTGGAGAAGAACCAGCCTCAGGCTGAAAGCTTCCTTAATAAAGGTGCACAAGTTAAACATTCCTCTCATTTTCAAGTGCACTTATCATGTGGACACAAGCACGCGATTTATTTTGATGGTCATTTGGATGCTATTTTAGTGCCATAGTTGAGTATTTTTTTTGGAATGCGGTCTGAAAATTCAGTGCAATATAAAGTGGTAAACAGTCAAAACACAGAAGTTCCTGGAACTATCCCTAAAAATCTCCTTATCCTTGTCTCTATTGCTGCCACAGCTTGTGATTAGAAAGGTAGGCAGTGAATTTAGTAGAACTAAAATGTCGGATATGCAACGAGTGACACAGACACTGACGACATTTAATAAATCAAGCTATCAAAATATGTGTAACGCAATCTTTGGATCAGCTAACCTATTGAGGTTGGATTATAGGGATACAATTCGCTTCATGCACTACTAATCAACTATATATACAGCCTGATGTTAATCAGCTTTGTACACCTTAAATCAATCAATATAGGGTGATACGGTCAAAATTTGGTCAAGGGAAAACGCGTGTAAATCGGTGAAATCGTTTATTTAAAAAATCAAATTAAATTTCTTTTTCAAGTTCAATTAGTATAAAATTCAGGAAAAATATTCAGTTAGGCTTCCGCTTTTCCAAATCCGAATTGCCGGGCCTTACGCTTGACCCCTGCCATCAGATTTTGTACAGCCACCTTGTCCACCTTCTTCGCCGCAGAAAGCCAGTTTGCCTTGAACTGCTGCTCGCCCTTAGCAGTTTTTTTGGTCTTCTTTAGGTTCCGCTTGACAATAGCCCAGTATTTCTCAATTGGGCGGAGCTCTGGCGTGTTGGGAGGGTTCTTGTCCTTGGGAACCACCTGCACGTTGTTGGCGGCGTACCACTCCATGGCCTTTTTACCGTAATGGCAAGATGCCAAATCCGGCCAAAACAGTACGGAACAACCGTGTTTCTTCAGGAAAGGCAGCAGACGTTTATTCAAACACTCTTTCACGTAAATTTCTTGGTTGACAGTCCCGGAAGCTATGAAAATGCTGCT